AGATGACAGAAATTCAGCACCCATTAATACTTTTATTAACTCTCAGCAAACTAGTTATAGAAGACAATTTCTTCATCAAATAAAGGACATTGATGAAAATGCCTACAATTAGCAGAATAATAGTGAAACACTGAATCCTTTTTTCCTAAGTTCAAGAATAAAGTAAGGATGTCTACCCTCATGACACCCACTCAACATTATACTAGAGGTCGAAACTAGTGCAATAAGATAAAAAAATAAAAGGTATAAAATCTGGAAGTGAAAAGGAAACTAAACTGCCCCTAGTCTCAATGATTGCTTACTTAGTAAAACAAAAAAGTAGCAACCAAAACACAAAACTATCTTAAAATAGTAAATTTAGAAAATAAAGTCAGATACAAAAATCAGTGTTGTATCTACATATTAACAACATACTATTTGAATATAAAATTGTTTTAAATATCACCATAGCATAAAGCATAATATACTTAGAAATAAATTTAACAAAATGTGAACAAGACCTGTACGCTAAAATAACAAAACATTAAGAAAATTTAAAAGACCTTAAAAAACAAAGAAATACCTTGTTCATGGACTAACAAGTAGGTTCAACATTAAAATGTCAGACCGTCCAAAATTGATCTATAAATTGAATGCAAACTCAATTTCAATACCAATAAACTGACAGAAACTGACACCCTGATTCTAAAACATATACAATAATGCAAAAGTCCTAGAATACCTAAAACAATCTGAAAAAGGACAAAGTAGAAGAACTTACACTCACACTTCATCACATACTCTCAACTTTATAGTATAAAGCTACAGGACTCAAGATAATGTGGTATTGGCATTAGGATAGACAAAGAGATCAATGAAACAGAATAGAAAGAGTAGTAATAGATAAAAATGTAGTCAACTGATCTTTTTTTTACAAAGATGCTGAAGTAAATTAATAGAGGAAATAGTCTTTTCAACAAATGTTGCTGAAACAACTATATAACCAACATCACACATGAATTAATTTGAAGTAAATAACCAACCTAAACATAAGAGCTAAATCTACAGAGCTTTAAAAAAGAAAAAAAAATTAGTTCACCAGGCCAGTGTGGCTCAGTGGTTGAGTGTCGACCTATATACGGGGAGGTCACAGTTCGATTCCCGGTCAGGGCTCGATCCCTGCTGGGGCACGGATGCAGGAGGCAGCTGATCAATGAATCATCATTGATGTTTCTCTATCTCTCTCTCCTTCCCCCTTCCTCTCTGAAGTCAATAAAATATAGATTTTAAAAAAATAGGTCAATATGCCTGTGACCTGAATATAAACAAGAATTTCTTAGGGGGAACCCCCCCCCCAACCAAAAACATACCGCCAGAAAATAATAAACCTAAGAGAAAAAACTGTAGCATCAAAATTTAAAATACTCCTACAACAAAATAATAAAAAAGCAAATACCCCAATTTTTTTTAAATGAGCAAAATACTTGAATATATACTTCACAAAGGAAGCTATAAGAATGATGAGTAATTATGTTGATGTATAATATAAATTCAAATAATAATGCAACTTAAGACTATGAAACTCTATTACATACCCATTAGAATGGCTAAAATTACAAAGATGAACAACAGAAAATATTGTTGCAAGTGGTAGAAATGTAAAATGGTACAACCCCATTGGAGGTTTGCCAGTTTCTTTTAAATTTAAATATGACCAACCATTTAACCCAACAGTTCCAGTCCTAGGTATTTATCCAAGGAAAATGAAAATCTATTTCCATAAAATACACATAAGAATATTCATAGTAGCCCTGGCTGGTTTGCCTCAGTGGATAGAGCGTCGGCCTGCAGACTGAAGGGTCACAGGTTTGATTCCGGTCAAGGGCACATGCCCAAGTTGTGGGTTCAATCCCCAGTGTGGGGGCGTGCAGAAGGCAGCCGATCCATGATTCTCTCTCATCATTGATGTTTCTACCTCTCTCTCCCTCTCCCTTCCTCTATGGGATCAATAAAAATATATTTTAAAAAAGAATATTCATATCAGCTTTATTCCTAATAGCTAAAAAGAACAAAAACAGAAAAACCCAAATATTCATCAACAGAATGGATAAATTATGGTATATTAATAAAACAGAATACTGCTCAGCAATAAAAAGCAAGTATAAATACATTTGATCACAGGATGGATCGCAAAAACATTATTCTGAGTGAAAGAAGCTGGACACAAAAGAGTACATGGATTAATTTCCATTTACGTGAAATTTTCAAACAGCCAAAACCAACCCGCAGTTAAAATTTAGAACAGTGGTTGCCACTTGATGGAAATGATGGGAACTGACTGGGAAGGGAGCTTCCTAGGATGATGTAAATGGTCTCTATCTTGATAAAGGTGAATCCATTTCTCAAAACTCACAGAATTGTACATATACAATTAGTGCAATCAAAGATTAACAACCAACTACAAATAAATTGCACCCCTAGTGTAGATGGCTTCACTAGTGAATTCTTCCAGGCATTTAAAGAAAAAAAATAATACCAATCTTACACAAATTCTTACAGAAAACTGGGAAAGCAGAAACACTTCCAAAATTGTCTTGTAAACTAAATATATTATTCAAAAAATAAGGAATTATAAGATAGATCAATTAAAGGCTAATCTTGCCCACACCCATAAACAAAACAATCCTAATGAAATAACAAGTCAAACCCAACTACATATTCAAAGGATGTACACAAACAATTCAACTTGTGTAATAATGCAATACTGGTATATTTAAAAATTAATGTAATTCGCACATTCACCAAATATAGACGTTAAATCGTTTCATCAAAATAGAAAAAAAATAGATATAGAAAAAGCTTTTGATAAAGTTACCTCCTATGCACGATAAAAGCTCAACAGAATAGGAATAGAAGAAAAACTTTCTTACCTACAAAAGAGTAACACTAAGTCCTGCTTAATAGTAAACATACCATAAAAATTATAGAAAGCTGAAACTAAAAGGATGGAATATGATATTTAGTGCAAATACTAATAAAAAAAGAGTAGCACTCTACTAATATCAGATTAAGAAAATTTTCACTCCAAAAGCACTAGCTAGAGCTAACAGGGATCATTCCATTATTATAAAAGAGTTAATCACCCGGAAGATATAATAACTCTGTATTTATTATCAGTAAAAACTGGGGGAGATATAGATATAGATATAGATATAGATATAGATATAGATAGATATAGATATAGATATAGATATCTATATATATATACATCTATATCTATATCTATATCTATACCTATATCTATATCTATATCTATATATATCTATATCTCAAATCCTTTCTCAGGAAATAACATATCAAGCAGAGCAAACAAAAGGTAAGAATGTGGAAGACTTAAACAAGATTAATGAATTTGCCCTAACTGATATTTATAGAATACCACACAGCAAATTTCAAAGGAGTGAAATCCACAGTTTATATTCTTTGACTTCTCTGGAATTACATCATAACTCAGTAATAGACATAGATAGAAAACCCTCTAAATATTTAGAACTTGAGCAATAAACTTCTAAAGATAAACAAAAATCACAATTAAAATAATATTGTATTTTGACCAAAATAAAAATATGACATTTCAATGATTTCTGCTATTCTAATTATAATAACAAAGAACATCACACACCCAGAAATAAATCTGCTGAAAGATGTAGAAGTCCTCCCTACCAAATGAAAACTACAAAACATCAGTGAGATACATTTATAAAACCCTAAAAAATGAAGGAATATACCATGATCATAGATTGGCTGAGTCAATATTGTTAAGGTGTCAATAATCTACAAAATGATTCTAGTTTCAGTGCAACCCTAGTCAAAATTCCAACAGGTGTGTGGGTGTGAGTATGGGTTTTTAAGAGTAAGTAGAGCCCTAGCTGGTTTGGCTCAGTGGACAGAGTGTCGGCCTGCAGACTGAAGGGTCCGGGGTTCGATTCTGGTCAAGGGCACATGCCCCAATTGTGGGCTTGATCCTCAGTAGGGGGCGGACAGTAGGCAGCCGATCGATGATTCTCTCTCATCATTGATGTTTCTCTCTCTCTCCCTCTCCCTTCCTCTCTGATCAATAAAAATATGTCTTAAAAATTTTTTAAAAAAGTTAGTAGAGCCCTGGCAGGTGTGGCTCAGTTGGTTGAGCATCATCCCATGCACCAAAAAGTCACCAGTTCAATTTTCGGTCAGAGCACACACCCAGGTTGTGGGTTTCATCCAAAGTCAGGGTGCATATGGGAGGCAACCAATCAATGTTTCTCCCTCTCTCTTTCCCTCCTTCTCCCTTCCTCTCTCTCTAAAATCAATAAAAATATATATATTTTTAAAAGAGTAAGAAGAAACTGAAACACTGATTCTAAAATTATCTCTCTATATAGAAAAGCCTAATAGGCAAATTGCCCCCACGGGCGTTCGACCGGGAGACGGATCGCTCGCTATGACATTTGCTGACCACCAAGGGGCGGTGCGGAATGAAGAAAGCCCCAACAGGCAGCCAGGGAAGGGAGGTCCCGGCTGGAAGTTGGAAGGAAGACCCCGACTGGCAGCCGGAAGGCCCGATCAGCCCTGATCGCCGGCCAGGCCTAGGGACCCTAACCTTGCACGAATTTCATGCACTGGGCCTCTTGTAAAAATATAAGAGCCAAGAATAGGGGAGTAGAGGAAAGAAGTTGGAGTACATACACTACCAGATATCAAGACAAAGTAGAATAACTTATGACAGTGTCATATTGGCACAAGGCGATACAAATAGACCAACAAAACAGAGTCCAGAAACATACTCAAACCCACAAGACACATGAAGAATACTAGTAGAAATATCTTCGGGGAAAATTTCATATGCAAGTATTTCATTCCAAACTTTAATATACTTTCTGATTAATCGTATCACAACAGAGTAAAAAATATTTCAGTTAAATTTTTTCAGACTGTATAAAATAGCTTCCAAAACAATTAGCAGACCTTCTATAAATTCTTACCTCTCCAAAAGCTCCTCGACCAATCACCTTTAATATTTCAAAGTCTTCTCTATGTAATCGCATCTGTTTCACTTTAGAAGTAAATGGTTTAGCTGAAATAAAAAGCAACATCAATTACTTTCTTAATGAAATGTGATGTAAATTAATACAGATAATGGTATTTCTTAAACAATAAGGATTGAAGTTATGATTAAGAATTAAGCCAAAATATTTAATAATTTCATCAAACTACAGTGATAATAGATTTAATTTCCATGAGAAAATTATATATGTCCTTTATTTCTTATATACGAATCACATTTTGGTGAAGAAAATTATTTTAAACACCAAATAACATATGAAATAATTCAAAATAGCAAATGAGGCCAGTTTATTCTCATATCAAACATTCTGTGTATTCTAACTCTCAATGCTAGATACATATTTTAATACAAAGGTCCAAGAAGCAAAAGCAAATTTCAGGTCACCAGAGAGAACTTCAGCAATTCCTACCAAATAAATTAATAATTATTTCACATTCATTTATCCTTTTAACATTCCTTTAGCAAGAATACATACTATATAAAGCATGGTGGCAATCACTGGAGTTTAAAACAAGTATAGTACCTTCCTTCAAGAAGTTCTGTCTTCAAGAAAGACAGTATGCTACACGCATAGTAACAATGTGATTAAGTTTCTAATACAGAGATCAGTGATAGTGAAACACTTATGTGCATCTTAATACTTCACAGAAGTAACAAAAGAACTGGAACTTGAGGACTAAGTAAATTGTGCTACTTTGTCTGGTTTGCAGGGTAGACATTGAATACTATGTGAGGAATTAAGACATTATTCTATTAATTATAAGGACTAAATTGACATTTGTTTTTGTTGTTAATCCTCACCTGAGGATATTTTTCCCATTGATTTTTAGAGCAAGTGGAAGGGAGAGAGAGAAACATCAATGTGAGAGATACACATCGACTGGCTGCGACTGGTATGTGCCCTTGACCAGAATCGAACCAGGACCCCTCAGTCTGTGGGCCAACACTCCATCCACTGAGCAAACCGGCTAGAGCAACCATAGCTATTTTAATCAACATGAATAAATCTCAAAAAATACTTGGAAAAGAAGTCACAGAAAATATAGTGTGATTTCATTTACACACAATTTAAAAACAAGCAAAAATAAAAATATTCTATGGGAATACTTATAAAACTATAAAGCAAATTTCATGGAGATGATTTATTCTTGAGGGAAAAGAGACACACAGGGTTTTCTAAGATCCTATTAATTTCTTAAGCTGGATCAATGGTACAGGAATGTTAATTTTATTATCATCCTTTGAACTATACGAAAAGTTTTATGCACTCTTTTATACATTTAAATTCATAAGGAAATTTTTTAAACTTGTATATATGAATGGATCTTTATTCAATTTAATGAAAATGGTTAGTTCAAAATTTTGCTTATTGGCCGGAATTTTTTTTACAATTTCCTTAATATTCTTTCAAATCTGAGAAACTATGGCTATTCTTAACGTTTTAAGCCTAACAATATTACTTTAATTTCAGTGATCAAGTTAGATGAAAACAACTGATTGTGCATAAAATGAACTGTGAACAACTACAGAAACATGAGAAACCAGTACCAGTGTTATTATTCACACACACAGAAAGTTCTTTGGCGGCATGGTCTTAAGAAGAATAAATAAATGACTGGTTGATTATAGTTCCTTCAACCTACTGCATGAAACAAGCAACTTGATCCTTCAAGTGAGATGGTAATCGTATGATAACTGCATAGTTCAAAACCATTTTCCTTCACATTTTAAAGAAGCGCTGCTCAAGGGTTTTCACTACCCTACTTGTCCCCGTGACCCTACCTCTGCTTCAAGAGGACACACCTGGTGGCCTCTCACTCTTACATCTGATGGCAACTAATCTATCTAACTGCCATCACCATAAACTCAGAGCTCTCCACCTCTAACAAAGAATCTAAAACAAGCCAAAGGATGTAACTGAAGCAGATCTCATTAAGTGTCTCTATCAACTGAACTTGATCTTTGCCTCCCTTATCTCAAGACAACCACAAAATGTGTCTGATTCCTTAAATTAGTTACTCATTATCTGCTCAGAGATTACTGAGATATTGAAATTAGCGGAAGTGAGCAGGCAAAAATCTTGAAACAACTATTATAGACTAGAGGCCTGGATTCACGCACCAGTGGGGTCCCTCGGCCTGGCCTATGGAGATCGGGCCAAAACCAGCTCTCCAACATCCCCCCGATGGGTCCCAGATTGCGAGAGGGTGCAGGCTAGAGTGAGGGACCCCACAGGTGCATGATCGGGGCAGGGCCGGGGAGGGAATGCAGGAGGGCTCCAGGGCATGTCCGGCCTGTCTCACTCAGTCCCGATTGGCTGGACCCTAGCAGCATGCTAACCTACCCCTGAGCATTTGCCCCCTGGTGGTCAGTGCACATCATAGTGACTGAACTTAGCATATTAGGCTTTTATTATATAGGATATGCTCAGAGGGAAAAAATCAATCAATCGTCTGCCTTTTTAAAAAAAAGAACCAAATGGAAATTCTAGAATTGGATGTGCTTCAAAATAAAATAAAAATGAGGAAAGAGCCCATGAACTTGAAAATATATCCATAGAAATGAACAATCTAAAGTAAAAAGACCTTAAGAATAGACAGCCTCAGGCACCTATGAGACAACATCAAAGGGTAATTAGAATCTCAGAAGGGGAGGACAGAGAAAAGCTGATTATATGTTACCGCCAGAAGTTCATTGGCAATATTTAACAAAAATGCTTTATACAAAGAAACATAAGAAAAAAGTCATGAATTCTATCCACCAAAAGCCCATCATGTCAGTCACTTGGTGTGACTGAAATAGTTTTGGATGTATGAGACAAATTGTAGAAAAACTTTATACTCGTTACAATAACTGGAAAAGACTTAATGATCACTACACTACTGCCCCTGACAAAAATCAAAACCACGTAAGGAACCAATTGGGTCTGTTGTACTGCTAGACAACTGCCATATCTGGGGACGTTTCACAAGGTGCCATACATACCACCTAACGATAACAATGCCTTGCCTTTCTTCAGTGCTGCACAGTTCAGTGTGTTCCCTGTGGCACATATTTTCTGAGGTACCTGCCACACCATTTCCGTCCGTTTCTCTGAAAACCTCCCTCCGACTAGAGGTCAAGTGTAATTGTGGGGCCTCACTTCACTAGCCAGAGTAAAGTGAACTAGTGTGGAAAACTAACCAAAGCTGTGGAAAAAAAGGATTTAAAACTGAACTCAAAACAAACAAACAAACAAACTGAACTCAGAAGAGTTAGTCTCTGCAATAAGTCACAATCCCACTACGACACAGCTGGCTCATCAATTAAGAAGTCACCATTTTGCCTTGACCGGTTTGGCTCAGTGGATAGAGCATCGGCCTGCAGACTGAAGGGTCCCAGGTTCGATTCCGGTCAAGGGCATGTACCTTGGTTGCAGGCACATCCCCAGTAGGGGGTGTGCAGGAGGCAGCTGATCGATGTTTCTCTCTCATCAATGTTTCTAACTCTCTATCCCTTTCCCTTCCTCTCTGTAAAAATCAATTATTTTTATATATATATACATATATATATATATTTTTTTTAAAGAAGTCATCATTTTATTTAAATTCTGACAACCTGTCCCAGTTTCTCTCACTCTCACATTCACTACATTAAGTATTATTATTCCTATTAAAAAAAAAAACAGGTTCAGTAAGGTAAAATAAGTTGAAGATTACATTGCCAACAATGGCACAAATTGGAGCCTGACATTAAGAGTGAATTTTTTTTTTTTACAATTTATAGTTCTTCAAACTATATTGATAATAGATTTAATTTCCATGAGAAAATTATATATTTCCTTTATTTCTTATATATGAATCACATTTTGGTGAAGAAAATTATTTTGAATTATACTGAAGCCTTTCCAATATAACATGCTGCCTCTTTCTTCCCAAAAGCTTTTTGGGGAAAAGAAACAAAAAACAGATACTAAACTTAACAGAATGAAATATAAAACAATTCTTAAGTTTTAAAAAACGATCTCTTTGAAACTTGAAAGAAAGCAAGTTTCCATCCGAGCCCCTAGCACACTGCCTGGTTCACTACACACGATCAAATGAATGATTCTAAAAATAAAAGAATTCTAAGTTCCCATGTGAAATGCCAAAAATACCTTGCAAGGTATACCTTTTTCTTTGCCGAATGTAACCCAAAATCTAAACATAGAGTCTCCTTCAATCCACCCCGACTCCCACGACGACTGCCCAGGTCACGTAGGAACAGAGACTGCTGGTTGCAAGCCACTGATGGCTTGAGAAAGGGCCCTAGTTAGAGATTCCAACAGAAAAAGAATGTGGATGGAGGAGACACATGTGAGAATGTGGGGAATAAGACAGCCCCAAGGCATAGCGAGGCCAGGAAGGGAAGAGGGAGTACTGCAGCCAGAGATGTTCACCTCCCTTCATTCCTGGTTCTGCTTCCTCCCTTCCTCTCAAATTTCTCCAGTGGGTGTGCCTCCTTCCAGTGTTGCTCCCCCTCAGCCTTTCCACTGCATGTCCTCCTACTATAGACGCTGATGCTAATCTGCAGTGCAGTAACATGAGAATCAAGGACCACTGCTAAGGCAGGGAGAGCGGGGAGAGAAATATGAGGGAGCATTGACAAGAGTAATAACTAAAATCACATTAAAACTTTCATTAGTCATATCAGGTTCTGTTTATATTTTCAAATAAAATATACAGTGCACTTTTAAATTAGTTATGTAATAAGAAATTATGAAATACACTGTGACCATACACTAACTTGTAATGTACAGAGAATAAAATTACAAGTGGTAAGTTTCTGAGATTTATGGTGACAACATATACTTGAGCATGAGTGTAAAACTGTCTTATTCACTTTTTTGTTGTTATTGTTAAACCTCACCAGATGATATTTTTCCATTGATTTTTAGAGAGCGTGGAAGGGAGAGGGAAAGACAGTGAGAAACATCGATGTGAGAGAGGCACATCGATTGGTTGCCTCCTGCATGAGCCCGGACCAGGGCC